TGCAAAATCCCCATTTCCTCCTGATGAGCTGGGACTCGGGAGGCAGAGAATAGATGGGGGCGGGGCCAGTCAGAGGTTGTATTTACCGGTTCTCCAAACTACTCAAAATTTCTGCTACCGGTTCTCTAGAGCTGGTCAGAACCTGCTGAAACCCACCTCTGCTGTGGGACTTCCAAATCTTAAGTGTGGGCAAATTCTGGCAGTAGTTTTTATGGGAGGATAGGCAGGGAATTATTTGTCCCTGGTGGTGAGGCTGATGATGTGCCCCAAAACATGTCTTTTAAAAAGGAGCAGATGCCTGGCTGTGGTGTGACTCAGCATCTTAAGTTAGTTTTCCTTATTTCTAAGTTGTTTTGAATACTTCATTCTCAAGTAACACTAGATGCCCTACAGATTTGCCACCTGCTTCTAGTAAGAACCACTTATTTGCTTACTTTGGTATATAAGCCACTCCATTTCCAAAACCTCTAAACAAACAGTACACTACCATACAAGTTAGCATTTATGAAGAGATACATCCATAATGGCTTAGGACCTGGTTATTTGCGGGACCGCCTGCTACCACCAATAGCCTCCCACCGACCAGTACGCTCCCATAGAGAGGGGCTCCTCTGGGTGCCGTCGGCCAAACAATGTGTACCTTCTGTCGCGCGCTTAAGACGTTCCTATTTCATCAAGCTGGCCTGACCTAAATTTTCCTCTTTTAAATGGGAATTGTAAATTTGGTTTTAAATTATTGGGCTTTTAAAATGGTTCAGCCAAATTTATTTAATTTGTTTTATCTCTATTTTAAATTTTGTATCTATATGTTTTATTTTATGGCTGTTCACCGCCCTGAGTCCTTCGGGAGTAGGGCGGTATACAAATTTAATAAATAAATAAATAAATAAATAAATAAATAAATAAATAAATAAATAAATTAAATAAATAAAGAAAGAAAGAAATAAATAAATAAATAAATAAATAAATAAATAAATAAATAAATAAATAAAGAAATAAAGAAATAAAGAAATAAAGAAATAAAGAAATAAAAAATAAATAAAGAATAGCAGCTCCATCTGAGGGCTGGATCACCTTACCTGTTCCCCAAAAGCCTTTCAGAAGAGCCATATTTAAATGTGCTCAAACATCAGATGGAGGAGGAAGCTTGGGTCTCCAGGGCAGGCTGTTCCAGAGGAGAGGAAGCAATTTCCTGAACTTTTCATGGCTTCCAATACCTTTTTTAAAAACCTCATAAACAGCTTTGCAAACCCTATACTAGGAGTTGGGGGTGGAGAATCTCCAAAGGAAATCCATCAAGTGAAGAAGGATCCTTTTTAAAAGTCAGCATAAAGACACAGTCCTCTGACAACTGGCATTCAGCAAAGGCCACTTCCAATTAGTAAACAGCTGGATGTCCTTCTCCAGTGGAGGGCCATTAAAAAAAAAATAGATTGCCTACATGGCTATATTTGTTGATGCACTTGAAGAATTCTAAAATCCTAACCGTGAAAGCCTTTTGACAAGACAAGAGCACCCTTTGCATACATCCTGGGGTCTTTTGGTCAATAAAGTTGCTTTTCCACATTTCATAACCCCCTGCAATAACATTCATTTTCCCCCCAGGAGAGACTAAAGCTAACAGGCCAATTTTACAGAATTTCTTATCTTCCCCTTAATTTCTTTTTAAAATATAGCCTGGCCATCTTACAGATTTGGAGAAAGGAAATTCTGCTTAATAATTCTGTATTGAAATGATCATCATTTCGCAACTGCCTTGAACTGTGACCATTCGCAGTTATGACAGTGATGAAAAAGTAACTTTGCAATCAGTCCTCGCATTTACGACTTTTGCAGTTCTGTAAGGTAAAGGAAAGCTGAAGTAAGATCTTAAGCACTTAGTTTCACTTAGCGACAGTTTCTCTTAACAACCAAGTTGCTGATCCCAAGTGTGGTCTCTAGACAAGGACTACCTGTATCTCCATTACAAACCTATCAAGTTCAATAGATGAGTTTGTTGGAGAAATTCCACACGGATTCAAAAGTATTTGTAGCAAATGAAGCTAGAGGGGAGTTTTGACCCGCTCCAGAGTACATTTTGTGTGCCCAACATTTCTTAGAAAAAGAGAGGGAAAACAACCCACAAAAGCTGGAATAGCAAGAGGTTAGAGGAGTTGTAGACATCAAGAGGACCAGAAAGACAGATAGAAGATGATTTTTAAAAGAATGATTTAAAAAGGTATTGAAATGAACCATTACTATTAAATAGCTTTTATTTTTTTTATTGTGTAAGATTTGATAGGCTGAGTCATCTTAGCTCTGTCAATCTTATGCTCAGGTGAGTTGGTTCTTCAAGGAATCCCTTCTGAAGGCCTAAGTCTCTGGTAAGAAAAATGACAGCATCAGAGGAAGGATCAGTTGCCTCACTATGCAAAGTGCTTTCCTACCAGTACAGAAGCCTCAAGTGCTGCTGGAGAATTAACAATGAGGACTGGACTGACAACTGCAACGATTGGACTACTCCATAAGTTCTATAGAATTTGATTTGAGCCTTTATTATTTAAAGGATCCCACAAATCCTTCTCTTTCAGGAATCAAGATTAACGTCTTCAGCAGATAAGTTGTACATCCATTCCTTAAACCTGTCCAGCAAAGAGAGGTCACCACCAGACCAAGAAGATGTTTGTGCTACTCACTCCCTTTAATGGCGTAGTGTAAATTGATAAATAACTTTTTTTAAAAAAAATAATAATGCATTTAATAAAATTACTAGGTATAACTACAGACCTAAAAGAGTGGACTTAGAAGTCCTGAAAAATTGCAGGTATGCTTTGAACCCACTACTACATTGCTCTAAGAAAAGAGCTTGCTTCAAATCTAACAATTCCATTCATATACAAGGTTTTCCTTCCTTCGCCTGATGGAGGTTGCTTAATATCAATCAGTGTTGAGGTGCAGCTATCTGGATGCAGTATCCTTGGGTAGTTCTTCCATATTTATTACAAATGAGTCCAGTGTAAAAATCCAGATTTCAGTTTTCTGCATCAAAACAATTGATCCCACAAACATCTTAATTGTGTACACCTTTTATTTATTTCTGTTAACTATAACCTCTTATTTTATTTTGTACTGGAGTTCTTTCACTGATGGCACGGTGGTTAGAATGTAGTATTGCAGAGTAACTCTGCCCAGTCTGGAGTTAGATCCTGGCTCAAGGTTGACTCAGCCTTTCATCCTTCCAAGGTTAGTAAAATGAGGACCCGGATTGTTGGGGGCAATATGCTGACATTTGTAAACCACTTAGAGAGGGCTATAAAGCACTATGAAGTGGTATAGAACTCTAAGTGCTATTGCTAGTGCTATTGTCAATAATTATTTTCATGGGTATTTTATTTTTAACTACAGATTAATTACATCTCAGCTGTTATGAACCAGACGTTAATATGAAGTGTGCCATGCTGGCATCTGCCCTTTTCAAAACAAAAGATTCACATAACCGTATGAGGAATATTTAAATGACAGAGTCAAGTGAACTATTTACAATAGAGTGGAACTGGGGGAACACATAAAGGAAATGACTACTTCTCAGGCTAACCTTGTCAACTTGAGTTCATCTGGGCATTCAGTGATGGATTACAAATGTGAACATCAGTTTAGATTATTCAACAATTACTTAACAGCACTAAATTGCTTCTGTCACCCAGACCTCAGTCCCTGGAAAAAGGAGAGATGAAGCTTCTTGTGGCTGGATCTACCAAGTCCCAATTGATATGTTTGAAAAAAAAAACCATTGTGAAGGGAACGACGATAACAATGTTTTCAGCTTTTACAGCAGTATGTACGATTCAGTGCCAAAAATGGCCTTTGCCTAATTGTGGACTTAACTGTTTATTTGGGGTAAATCAAAATATGTTCCAGCATATTCAATTAGCACACCGTCCTGCTCCTTTAAAAAAAGGTGAAAATAGTCTTCAAGTTGAGCTTGACATCCTAGATCAGGGGTCTCTAACCTTGGCAACTTTAAGCCAGGCAGACTTCAACTCCCAGAGCAAAGCTGGCTGGGGAATTCTGGGAGTTGAAGTCTGCCAAGCTTAAAGTTGCCAAGGTTGGAGACCCCTGTCCTAGATGCATCCATGTTGTTGTAGTCTGCCAGCGGCCTGCAGAGCTGGCAGCAGAGTCGGACAGTGAGGAGGTTGGGGAGGAACATTGGCCAGTCCTGAAGTCTGGGGAAGGCTTGAACGAGGGCTCTGTGTTGGAGGCAGAGAAAGGGCCATCTGGGAGGTATGTGCTGCCTCCGGAGCCTCCAAAGTCGGACCTCAGCGAGGCAGAGGAACAGGGGGAGCCTGTTCCCAGTGTGAGCATGCGGAGAGCTGCCAGAAGGCAAGAACAGTTAAAACAAAAGGGACGACTTGGGAGTAGGGCTCGGAGTGATTGGTCCCTCCCATAAGACTTAAAAGAGGAGCAAAGGCACGTGGGCCTTTGCAGGAAGCAACATTGTTAATTCTGTTCAGTTTAAAGTCTGAAGCTCTGTTTGATTCTGGACTCTGTGTGGCTTTGCCAATTAGGTCTTTGGCAGCTTTTCAAGGGAGATAAAGGTGGATGATTATCAGCCTTATCCCGAAGGACTCTTTACAACTATTTGGGACTCATCTGTGAATGAACAGAATTCACAGCTGTTGCAATAAAAGAGACTTTTGGGACTATTTGTGTGTTTTACTGACTCAGGAAGCCTAGGTCAGAACACATATAGGTTCCTAGAAATGATACAGAGGTGGCATGCTACAGCTGTCTTTCAGAAATATCTTTCTTTTTTTGTACTTCCTAGTCTTGCCTTCAACTGCGATATTCCTTGGAAAACTCCAATTTAATACTTGGAGATGTTGGAGAACTTCGAGCATCCTTAGGATTCTTTCAAAGGGGCTTATGGATCCACTCCAGGACTCCTAAAAGAACAAGCTGGGTCTTCATAGATCTACATATTTTAAGATGAATATTGGAAATGAAGCCAGACGAAACAGAAGCATTTTAAATCCCTCTCTTTATTTGGGTGACAGGACGCCCTTTCATTTCCCTATATTAACAAACATTGAACAGTAAATGTGAAAGAAATGTTTATTATAATGAGCTCTCCAAAATGTTGTCAAGATTGTTAACAAATAGGGTACTGACCTATTAACCAATCTTGCCTATAAATGAAAAATGTTCAAATTGTGTCCCAATGACTCCCATCAACTCTGGCCTCCCACTTGTTTCTGAATTTGATGCAAGATATACACAGATACATTCCACTTGAAAGCAAACAATTGAAAACTAGAGGTCACTTTGGCTTCATTAAACTGGTCAGCCTTGGTCAATCCCAGAAAGAGAACTTGGATTCGACTTGCTTGGTATTTGCAAAAGAGACCACCAGAAAATATCAAAACTATAAGATAGATTGGTATTTTTCTTTAAAAGTCATCCTGGGAGAAGACAGTGGCAAACTATTCCATTACTATTTGGTGTAAAAATGACAGGGATGTCTCTACGAAGACATCAAGAGGCAAGCCAGGTAAAAAGGAGAGTTTATTCTCATATATCCTATGCAACTTGTTCTTGCTGGCAATGCAGGTTCTTAAACGTATTCAGAGCATCTGTGGTCATATGGGTGAGCTGCAGCTTTCCTTCCAACACCACAAAATTGTTCCAAGAAAATCTAATTTTGTGACTTCTACACTACAGCACTGAATAGCACTGGTTCCATTCTATCTCCAGCCCCGAGTTTAAGATATTCTGCGCCCTGATCAATGATCTTGTTTAATTCCCCATATATATGGATGCAAGCTCTCGACAATTAACCTAGATTATGTATAGCTTTAAAACACCGTGTTAAAGAATCTTGGAACAAGACATTTACAGCAGGAAAGCCACAGCAGCACCCAAAAGAGGCTATGAAAAATGTAATCTCCCTTTTTGAACCTCAATATTGTGCACGTGTTCCCCAAATTCAAAGAAAGTGTCATGCATTTCTATGAAATGTGTATGATGAGGGAAGCTTACAGGAGTGGCGCTTCTAAACTGACATAACGCTTTCATGTTGGGCAACGCAGGGATGTTTTGAACGCCTCCTGAGATTCCCGGGTGTTCCACTGCAGCATGTCTGAAGGTGGGGCCTGGAAATCCCCTACACCAGCGGTCCCCAGCCTTTGCAGCTTACCAGCATGGCTGAAGTGGGGAGGGGGAGAGGGGAACTGAGCCATGCAAGTAAAAGGCCGGTACACACGCACACTCAGCCCTTGCACGAATGGCAGGCTGGCGCATATGCACACAGCTCAACTTGCACGAGTGCCAAGCAAGCGCAAATGTGCATGAGTGGCCACTGGCCTGTCACTTGCAGAAATTGAGTTGAGTGCACGCACGCACTCCAACCAGTCACTCACGCAGCCCAATTCCAAATAGGCCACAGCCTGGTAGTTGGCCACAGCCCGGGAGTTGGGGAGCCCTGCCCTACACTTTCCTCTCTTCTTCCTTCAGCTTCGGTGTCTTCATCTATCCTCTACCCAGTCCTTCATATCTTTCCATTCCACAGGTTCTTTTGTGGACTCGTCTTCCCATTTCAACTGAGCTTCCAAATCCATTTTTAGTTTTCCCACTGACTACAAAGACTCTTATCGATAACTATTCTCCAACAGGAAATAATAGGCTTGGAGAATATTCTATAAAATTGAAGCAGCATAGCCAAAGGCTGACTGCGATTTATAGGCAGCAGTTAGTTTTATCCGTTTTTCCGTAGTTTTAGACATATAGTAAAACCTAAGATGCTAATTCCACAGCTGTTCTTTTCGGACTCTTTCATTTAAAAGATCCAGCTGCTCTTCTCCAGTTTTAGGGAGTGCACACTGATTTCCCAGAAGTTCCATTGTATAAATAGTCCCCATCTGCTCCACAATCTCTCTCTGCCATATACAGAGCCATAACAGAAAAATTATCAACACGCACCTTGCTTTTCACTCCAGTTTATTAAAATGTAAGGGTTTTTCTTTAATCGCTGAAGTCACGTTAAATATAATCCCACTGGAGAGCCAAACTCCATCTCTTCCCTCCATTCTGGGCTTGCCAGCTCCTTGATCCAATGCCAGGCTGGCCAACACATGGCCCTCTGAGTTCTGGGCAAGGGCATCAGGCTGCGAGACCTACACAAAACTGCAGACAGCAGCAGAAAACAAAATGGCAGCAGGCCAGGGCAGAAATGGGGCTTGACCCCTCAGAGCCAGAACCAGCCTGACCTAAGGGGCAGTTGAGCTCTCCTTGCAAGAGCTGCAATCATTCCCTTTCCCCTTTGATCCTAAGCAGCGGCTAAAGCAGCCCGAGTCACGGTTTCCATGAAGAGTGTCACAGGACAAATAGAATACAACAGGGATCCCTTAGCCCTCCCACCCACTTAATGAGCAGCTGCAAACCAAAGTCCAGAAGACTGATTTAGTTGCTCCCCAAACCGAGCAATCCTTAGGGGCTGGTTAGCACTGCGTCCCCCAGTGGTCCCACAAACCAGACACCCAGCCTCCTCTCCACATCAACACCACCCCATCTTTGCTGATGTTTCTGAGAACCCTCCTAGCTGTCTTGGCAGCCACCAGGCAGGAACTGGGCCCCGAGCCATCCTGCCTGCCAGCCCTTGTCGCCTGAGAGAGAGGTCGAGCTTCTCCTCAACAAACAGAGCAAGACAGCCCCGGAGTGGGATTGGACGCCGCCCATTTCCATTCTCTTCCACCATCCCCAGTGCCATCTGTAAAGCCAGCCAGGACACCCGAGGTTCAGAGCCTAAGCAGTCATCTTCAGCTCTCCTCTGCCATGTCAGGAAGTGAACGTAGGGAAGCGGATGGGCTGAGAGAGGCAGGGGAGAGCTTGGCCTCATGTACTGTTGCCCTGCTCCTGCTCGAAGAGCACCATGGCCAGTTGGGACCGGGAGCCCAGGCCCTCCAAGCTGCTCTGCACGCAACGGTGATACTGCTCCTCGCTCAGCCGGGGATTGCAGATCTGGGGCCTGAAGGGCTGCAGGAGGGCAGGCTCGACCGCACGGAAGACATGCAGATTGGAGTATTTGACGAAAAGGTCGTAGATGTCCATGGTCTCCAGGAGATCCTCGTTGTCCTGGGCATCGGCTGCCATCCGGGTGCGTGCCGCCATATAGTCAGCATTGTAAAAGCAAGCTTCATTGAAAACCTCGCGATCAAAATGGCCAGCGTCGCGCACTAGGTCTAAGCCAGAAAGCGGGGGAGGCTGGTTGTGGAAAGCAATTGTGGGGTTGTAGCCCTGGAAATGGATGGGGAAGAAGACCTGCCAGCTGTTGATGGTGTTCATGCGGCATCGGTTAAGGAACTCAGTGGTGACTTCAGTGCTCACTCCAGCCACGAAGAAGAGCGTGTCTACAGGATGCTTCTTTGAGATGATGTCCATCACCTTAATCTGGGAGGGCACGTCCGTCTTTACACTAATCCAAGGAATCTTCACCTGAGGGTGGCGCCGCTCGTACTCTGTGATGTGTGCTTTCACCGCCCCAAAAACATCATTCTGAGCCACCTTCTGGGCTTCGAAAGGATCATAGATGAAGAGGAAGGTCAACACGGCATTCTCGGAGTTCTCAAAGGCTGCTGCAGCGTAAACGTCAAGGAAATGGGCAGCGTAGTCTTTTTCTGAGGCTGTCAGGGGCAAGATGACATTGACCCGGCTGGCTTCTGTTACATAGGGCATGGGGATAATCTCTACCTCACTAAGAGGGCGCAGGAGATGCACACGTTTGACCAAGGAACGGCTGTGCCCCTTCTGGGTCACAACCTCCAACTGCAGATCCAAGGTGTACTCCATGCCCCGGGTAGGATCGAAACGACGGTAGCCGTTTAGTAGCTGCTGCTTGCGCACATGTAGCACCGGCTGGTATCGGCGGTTCAGCTCTTCCACGGCCGCGGCAACCACGTCAGCTACATCAGCTGCGTCTGCCCCTTGGAGCTCACACTTGGGAGCCCCATCCACACAGGAAAAAGCCGCCTCTTCGGTGAAATAATCCCAGTGAAGCACCTCAAAACGGGTCTTTGGCTGGAAAGGTGGAGGAATGCCTATAGGCCACGTGCTACTCAGCTCCCCATCTGCAGAAAGGCTGCTGGTATTCTGGATCTCCAGCTGCAAAAACAAGGTAAGAAAATTAAGGTAAGTTCAGAAACATTTTCTCGGCTAAACCCCAAAAGGGCCCTAAGACTTAGACTCGGATGTGACCATGCTGATTCCCATGGACAGTAACAGACCTCACCCGTAACTGATTTGGGTGCTGCTAACGCCTGCCCCAAACTTGTTGGGGCAGGGGAAGAAAAGGCTGATAGGTGAAGTCTTACCCCAAGTCTACATACTGACTCCAATTCAAATTTCCCAGACTGAAAGCCACTTCCTACAATTCCCTCCCCACGCTGGCCACTGAATTTCTCTGCTTCATAGCAGGAAAGAGGGATCAGGAAACACCCAGGGTGGCAGCCTTATGTTGTTCTGCCACCTGGTGGCAGCATGTCCACAATCAGAGCTCAATTCTGGAGATCACATCTCCCTCTCCCTCTCCCAGGGGCTAAAAAGAAGCTATTTAGAATTTGTTGTTGCTGTTGTTAGTTGCGAAGTCGTGTCCGACCCATCATGACCCCGTCAACAACGTTCCTCCAGGCCTTCCTGTCCTCTACCATCCTCTGGAGTCCATGTAAGCTCACGCCTACTGCTTCAGTGACTCCATCCAGTCACCTCGTTCTCTGTCGTCCCACTTTTTATAACTCAATCCTGTTTACACTAGAACTTCTTTTCCTTTTGGAATTGTCTTGACTGAGCCTAGGAAGTTTGCATTCAAAACTAATGTCTACACAGCACAATTATTCTTTGCTGTTTGACTTGAAAACGTGGTCCAGATTATATTTCTGTACGCTGTAATTTCATTCTCAATTTATCCAATGTGTACAATTCCCCCAAAGCTTAATCACAGCAATGCTGGTCTGTATGGATATATGCTTCTTGGATCAACAAGTGTTATTTACGGTAAATGCCCAATGACAAACTGTGAGAAGGGGTCACTTTCTTCTCATTCTCTGCCCCTCAATCTTTGCTTTGCTTAATTCTGCTTCAGTGAGCTACTATTTTCCTGGCAGTGTCACATCTCTCTGCTTTCATAGCATAGACGACTCGGAGTATGGAAGGGAAAGGCACATGATACATTCAGCCAAGAGCAATGCTCAAAATAGTTAAGTGCCTTATTTTGATATCTTGAGGACAAATGTATACATTTGATTTTTGTAATCCACTGGGCAGGAAAAGAAACTATTGAGCACGGATTAGGAATCATTTAACCTTCACAAGGCCCAAACAACCCAATTTTCTAAGTAGCACCTTCATTATGAAACATCCATCGAAGTCTGCAGAAGCCTTCAGCCATCTCCTGCAGTGCGAACAACATTGGAGGCTTTGATGTTTGAGACACTAAGCCTTAAAGCCAAGCCTCCTTTTATAGGTCTTCAATTCCACGGCACTAAAATTCCACTGTCTGTTTTTTTATGGTATATTGCTTTTAATTTATGCCACATTAGCTACTGAATGCTTATTATGGTGGCATGCACGTGTCAAATTAGTGATTCCTCAAAAATAATTCCAATTTAATCTGGCCCCGGGCTCAGTTCTGCCATCAAAGCTTGCACAACATACTTGCTTCTATTATGATACAATCCTCTGGGTGTACATTTCTGTCAAATGGTTGGTCTAGACATAAAAACTCCCTGAACAGACTGGATGTAGCATTAGCGACAGAACTTCAAGATCCTTTAATACAGCAACCTCCCCTCCCCTTCTACTTGCTCACTATTTAGAAAGAGACCCAAATCTAAAACAGGAGGACCCATAAATTATATCTTACTCTGCAACAGGTTAGGAGTGAGATTATTAGCACAATATTTATCAGAGGGAGTTTACAATGGCATTTATTAACCTTTGGAAACTATTTTTCAAAATTCAGGGAAAAGATCATGGCATTTGGATTTTTGTTAACTGCCCAATTAATACATTCTAATCATTAAATGTAGCAGATTCATTTAGTTAGGAGCAGACACAATAAATTACAGACTCATAGGGCTGGAAGGGACTTCAGGAGTCTTCTAGTCCACCTCTAGGAGCCTTGTACCATCCTAGTCAAATGGTTGTCCAGTCTATTCTTGAAAACCTCGCGTGATGGACCATCCACGACCCCAGGAGGCAAGCTATTCCATTGATTAGTTGGTCTCACTGTCAGAAAATTTGTCCTAGGTTGGATCTCTCTTTGACAAGCTTCTATCCATTACTTGTTGTCCTGCCCTCTGGTGCCCTGTAGAATAAGAATAACTCACTTCTCTCTTCTTTGTGACAGCTCCTCAAGTACTGGAAGATAGTTATCATGTCCCCCTAATCCTTCTCTTCAATAGGTTAGAGATGCCTGGCTTCCTCAACCGTTTCTCCTAGGATTTAGCCTGATTATTTAGAGTAAAATAGTTACTCCGGTGTCTACTCAGATACCAGCCAATGGTCAGCATTTACACCTTATCTTGGTGACAACTGAATACCAGCCATGCTTCCTTCCCAAGGGGTTTTCAAAGACTTAATTCATCCAAGCAGCAGGTTCTCTTTCTATTCCCCACTGAAAACAGCCTCCCTAAAAGGATAGGCTTTCTTTCTTCCTCTTTCTCTATTTTGGTCCAGTTATTTTAAAATGTGTTTTCATTTTTATTGCTCGAAAGACTGCACGTAAGTTAAATGAAACAGTTTATATAGTGGAGACTTGATAGAAATAAATCACATAAATATCTATTGTAACCCAAGGCACTAGACTCCTATATTAATTCACAGCAATAGAAAGAATGAAAGAAAACCTGTAATAGTGAAAAATATTAGTATAATACTATTAAATGAAACATGATGTATTACAACCGACAATGTCTTGATGATTCCACATTTTGCAAGCCTGCGTTTGGGTCTTCGTATTTTGCTGGTTTTACATAAACTAAAAAAGTAACAGTAGAGCTATGAAGGCATCAGTCACGCCAAAAACCTCTTTGCTTCTAGAATTCACAGTTGCAGACTATGAGTCAAGATTAATTTTGGGAGCCAGCGCTAGGCTCAGCAGTGAAATTAGCAACAACAGACTCCTGTCTGGACTCATCTGGCAGCTTTCCTGAAGCAAGCTAACTTCTACGTTCTTCCTTTGCCAAATTTCTAATAAGGAAACTGCTATAAGAATGCACACAGTAAGATTCAATGGGACAAATTATTATGGGAAAAAATTCTTATTTTATCTACTATGTTTCCCCGAAAATAAGACCCTGTCTTATATTTTTTTGAACCTTGAAATAAGCGCTTGGCCTTATTGCTATGCACTGAAAAGTCCAATTGGGCTTATTATCAGGGGATGTCTTATTTTGGGGGAAACAGAGTAGGTAAGACACTTTTAATTTCCACATTTAAAAAAAAAAACCTAACATGCTGACAGTGAAATGTCAGCAAATACATCTAAATCAGGGGTGCCAAACTCATGGTGTCAGGTTGTTGTTGTGATTATTGCGACTTTCCCCCCTTCGCTAAACCGGGGGTGGGCGTGGCCAGCGCGTGTTGCATCTGGCCACAGGCCACAAGTTTGATACCCCTGATCTAAACTTTCAGAAGCCAACATCAACTGAAAACCTGCATGTTGTTGGTCCATCAGAGAATCAAAGTTGTTGGTTCACTATATGTCTGCTTAGTGGGGGTAGAGGGGGGGAAGGTTAATCCTTCTGCCTACTCATTTATCCCTGCAAATCAAGAATAATAACTTTTTCTCCAAAGATGTTGAGACTCTATGAAAAGTTCAGAAAAGAGCAACAGATGATTAGGGGACTGAAGGCTAAAATATAGGAAAAAGGGTTGCAGGAATTGGGTATGTTTAGTTTCATGAAAAGAAGGACTAGGAGTGACGTGATAGCAATGTGCCAATATCTGAAAGGCTGCCACAAAGGAGAGGCCGCAAAAAGCACATGAGGGCAGGACAAGAAGCAATGCATGGAACCTAACCAAGAAGAGAAATCAAGCTAGAACTAAGGAGAAATTTCCTGACAGTTAGAACCATTAATCAGCGGAATGACTTGCTTCCAGAAATTGTGGGCACTCCATGACTAGAAGTTTTCGAGAAGAGACTGGACAACCATTTGTCTGAAATTATATTGGGTCGCCTGCTTGAACTGGGGGTTGGACTAAAACAGGGGTCTCCAACCCCCCAGACCATTGGGAACCGGGTCGTGGAAATGGTTGGCGAGCGCATGCGCAGCTCTATTTGTGTGAGCGATGGGCGCAAGCGCAAACGCCCACTGTCCACACAGAACCATCCCCTGGCCCCCTGCCAAGCCAGAAAGTTTGTGGACCGCTGGACTAGAGGACCTCCAAGGTCCTTTCCATCTCTATTATTTCGTTAGCATATCAAATGTAATCTGAGTACAAGAAAAGGCTTTTGTGAGGAACGGTGGTCAGGAGAAAGAGGAAGCCCATACGCAAGCAAATAAACCCCATATTTTCCTTCAAAATCTGATCCTTTCTCTTATATAGCTGATTTTCAGGAGAAAACCAACCAGTCAGAATCAGAGCTCTGGTAAACATAGAGATCAATTTACCGATGTGCCACTCAAGACTAAAATAATCTCTTTAACTGTACTGCTTAATGAGTTGAGAATGTGGCAGGGGATAAGGAAGGCTAAGAAGCAGACAGGAAAATATAGATGTCAATATTCTCTGTTTAGAAAGAACAAGCTTGTAGAATGTAGCTTCTGGAATTCTTTCCAGCCCCTTCATAGCAGCTTCACTCTAGATGCGGAGACAGGAGGAAACGGGTTCAGACCGGAACAGAAGGCAACATTCTGAGCAGCCGCCTAACTGCCTCTCCCACAAGGATCCACGGAAGAACTTTTTCTGCCTTTCCTTTCTCCCTAGCCTGATCCAGATCATTTTCAAACTCAGTATTTCTTTAACATGCTAAATTTGGTCCTCTTTTGTTCAGTTTTTGAAGAATTACAAATGGTCCTTGCTTAACAACCACTTGTTCAGTGACCATTGAAATGGCCGATGGCACTGAACATGTGATACTTATAACAGGCCCTCAGAATTCCAGCTGTTACAGCATTCCTGCATCACGTGATTACCATTTGCAACTTTCTTTGTCGGTTCCGACAAGCAAAATCAGTGGGGAAGCCAGCAGGAGATTGCAAATAGAGACCACATGATGCCCTCGCTTAATGACCTGCGGGTATTTGCTTAACAATGGCAACTGGGAGTGCCAGAATTGCCATCACTATGCAGCACAGTGCCAGAATTGCAGCTAGTAAGAAATCCCAATTGTTGTAATTAACCAAGGACTACTGGTACTTTGGTACCGGACAACAGGTAGATGGATAGCCCCTTTACATAATTTATTTCCAACATTGTATTGAGTTCAAAAAAATAAAGCAGCTTGACATTGCCCACATTAGAGAAGATACATTTTTCAGTAGCCAGGGAACAGAAGGCAGAATTGCCAACAATTATCGGAGCCAGAACCAGAGCCAGAAATGGATGGCACAAATTTTCTCTCTTGTCTTTTTTCAATATCCCAACATCTTCTCTTCTTCCTTCTTATTAGAAGAAGGAACAAAGTGAACCTGAGATCTAGCCAAAGGACAGCTGGTCTACTTCTATCTTAACAGATATGAGAGGGGGAGTAGCTCTGATTATAATTCTTCCCAATTCCTCAGAGATGTTGAATTCCAATTCCCAGAATTCCACAAAATGGCACCTGTAGAATTTCAGGAGCTGAAGTCCACCAGGTTAAAGAAGAACGTTCTCGTATGGGTACTGCTCAACATGACTGATTTTTCTGATAAATGAAAGCTAGGAATGTGTCAAAGGGACCCTTGGATCAGCCGCTCATAGGCCTAGAATCTCAAAGTCTGGCCACCTTACCTGTAGCTGCTGGATCTCTTGGTAAGTGTGCTCCAGCTCTACACGAGCAAAATGTCTGTGCAGCCGATACATCTGGAGAGGGTCCAGCACTGGGTGAACAGTGAATGCAGCATTGAATTGTGGATCACTCTCCTTTTCAGGGTCTGTGTTCTTCCCAAGCTCAAAGTAATGGTAGCGTAAACCCTGGCAGAGGAGAGGGAAAGAAGCACATCAGTCTGGGAATTCAGCCTTTCCAGCAAATATACCCAGAGGCTAATCAGCACCTCTCTCTGTTTTGCTAGCAAAACAAAAGACTGCTGAAGAAGCTCAGCATTCAGCTGGAGGGCAGATATGACCAAGAACGTATTTCATAGCATACTGTTCTCTCAAATCACTCCTGATCTTTGAATACCGCCTTCTTTGAATAAAAACATCTAGTGGCCAAATCATTCTTGTTCTTTGCTTTTTACTTATTTCACCACTCTTCGAGTCATCCTGCTCCTTGGTCTGGGGATGGGATGGAACTGAACAATTTTTAAAATATGTTTTTCTTTTATTTAGCTCTCACTGGGAACAGAAAGAGTACTAATTACTTTAAGACTCAAGGGCTCCTCACAATGAGAGACAGCACCAGAATATTGCCTCCCTTTTAACCAGAAAGAAAATTTTTTGCCCAAACTAAAATTGTAGTTACAGCTACAAAAACAACAGTTAAATAGCATCCCCTCAGTGAAAAGGTCCCAACAGGAAACATGTTCCACCAAAAGCAGCTCCTCTTTCAAAACGATTCAGATTTGAAAACAAAAACCCAACTCACTTCTCTTTGATTCTAAAAGCCCAATGAGGTTTTAAGATAACTTGAATAGGAAATATCTGATAACTCTTTGAACCCGCATGTGATAATTAGTATAACTTTATTGTCATTGTACGTATATACATAGTATACCCATACAACGAAATTCACATAACACCCAAAGACCAGGCCCAACACACATAACAATCCCCAAACACCCCTCCACCCCCCACAAATTCCCCACTCCTGAACCCCCCAAAAATCTAAAAGCAAAGAGTTTCCCCTCTTTTCCTTTTCTCAAAAACGGTGACTGTGAAGGTATCGCACAGGCCAAGCTCTTCCCACAGAAGGAGGAAACGAGGCATGGCCACCTCAGAGGGAAGAAAGCCTCACCTCTTGCTCCGACACGCAGTCTACTCCCGTGTAGTCGATGATACAGCGGCCCAGCCACTCATCAGGGCGTGCGCTCAAGATATCATTCCGGCAACTTTCCAAGTGAGGCTGCAAACGCAGGAGCAAAGCTCGAGAAAGCAGGTAACCAAAGCCGCCGTAGCAGTAGTGTCCCTGAGTGTCCCCGCCAATGAACTCCTCAGGTCGGCCCATGTAGAGCAGAGTGTCAATGCTGAGGTGAGAGGCCAAGTGGTTCACCCGATGGGCTTCGACGTAAGTATCATCCTGCACCAGGAACACCCAATCGAAGTCAGACAGGTAGTGGTCTATCACGTATTTGACAGTCTGGTACATGTTCCATATGGGCCTCTCATCTCCGTGCGTCACCACCGTCATGCCATGGGGCACCTTGCGCCCCCGGGTGCCTGTGAAGTAGATCAGGCGCTCCAGCCGGTGGCCTAGCGTACGATTCACTGCCACGGCCAGGGAGTTCAACGTGTTCTTTGAGGTCAGCACACCCACAAAGAGACGCTGCCGCATGCCCAGCTCTGTGCTGATATATCGGGTCCTTCAGGAGTAGAGAGGGAATGCAGAAGAAATGAAAAGAAAAGAAAACAAGACAGTTAAGTCTCCTCTCCTCCAACAATCACACCTTTCCAATCAAGGAAAGGGCACCTCAGCCCTGCAATTCATAGCAATTGGCCAATCTCTAAAAGATGTGCAAACAGTTTCATTATCAAAATGTCCCAGTCCTAACATTTGTTGTCCCAATGATATAAGAAATGATCCAATGCCAAATAGCCTATTCCCATCTTACCAGCAAGGTCAGAATAGCATTTGGAGGTTGGGATGCTTAAAGGACAAAAATGTTTTACTTATTTCACTAATCACCTTCAGGTTATTTGAAGAATAGGCACCACCTAGTGGAAGTTAGGCACTGACAACCGACATATTTGGAGAGCCAGTTTTTCCATAAAATCCACTGTTTTCATCCCTGCTTGCTCATGCACAGAAGAATCTGCATTAGGTAAAATCTGCTTTTTTTGTGTGCTATAGTTATAGCATATATAATGCCTGTGAAAATACAGACTCCATATGGTTGAGGAAAATCATGTTGATCTTCACCCAACCAAGGAAGGTAACAAGAGATTATATTTGGGTGGGAAAAACTGATGAGACTTCCGTATTTATATAAAAATCATAATCCCTATGCCTAAACTATAAAAAAGCAGTTTCCATGCACTGGAACCATGTACACATAATCCTTTATATAAATAAATACGATTTACAGTGAACTGATATTGTGTGACCTGCTCCTATTCACTTCACCAGTTAATCAGCCATACCCTGCTCCTTCCCAACAATCAACGGTCATTAGACACACTTACTCTTGTTATTGCATATATTAGTACTACACACAGGTTCACGGATACCCTATTATCTTTACTTCCGCTGCATTCTATCTTCTTTCTCTTCCCATCATCACATTTCTGATCTGGAAGCTACACCCAGATGGGGTGGAGGGCTTCATACTTTTGGCTATCCTACTCTGTAAAATACCACGTACATTACTGTTGCTTCATCAGGAGTATTGCTGTATATTCCATTAAGTAGAGAGCCAGGTTAAAGACACCAGATTAGGAACCAGGAAAGTTCTGGTCCCATTTTAGGCACAAAGCCAGATGGATTACTTGGGCCAGTCACTCTCTCTCATCCTTAGGAAGAGAGCAGTGGCAAACCACTTACAAAAATGCTGCCAAGAAAACTATATTTATTTATTTATTTATTAGTTTGATTTATATGCTGCCCTTCTCCGGAGACTCAGGGCAGTTTACAATGCATTAAGCAATAGCCTTCATACTTTTGTATATACCTGCTTAGTAGGGCTTTTTTGGCCCCCCCTAAGTGGTGTTCTATTTTATACAAAGTCAGCTTATTGTCCCCACAAACTGGGTCCTCATTTTACCTACCTTGAAAGAATGGAAGGCTGAGTCAACCTTGAGCCTGGTGAGAATTGAACTTGTAGTAATTGCAGGCAGCTGGCAGCTAAATGCTACTTTTAACAGTAGTTTAGTCTGCTGCGCCACCAGGCTCCTTTTTTATAGGGACTAGTCCAGTCAGGGCCAGGAATCAACACTTATTTAAAGGATAATTACATTACATTACATTACATTACATTACATTACATTACATTACATCAACCTGTTGCATTTTAGCAAAAGCTAAAATCCTACTTGATTCGAAGAGCACTGTACTATGCTTACAAAAATGCTAAACATCACTGTGTTTGTAGCAATGTTGCAGAATGTTATGCTGTGTTAAGACATTGGGCTCCCTACAATTAAGTACAGTAGATGCTTCCAACCAGCTAACTATTGAGTGCTGGGTAAAGAAGAAAAAAAACCTTTTAAACTTTTAATGTGTTGCAAAGTATCTGTTTTCAAATGAGATGCTGTGAGAGGGGCCTCTTTTGGAAACCCATGAACAAGGTGATGACCGTAACAGGTCAGAGTCTGGAGGGCATTAGGGGTCCCACTGTCTGGGAAGGACTAATAATATCCTGGCAGATCAAATCAAGTTGGTAGAAGAATGTCAACTCTTTAGCCCTGCTCTTTGGAAAAGGACACAAACAGCCAAGACTTGGAGCCTATAAATTTATGTAAACAACTGTGAATCACATACACAATCTGGAACAAGCAGATTGTGGCCACCGGATCCAACTATAATTCTAGCAATGAGAGCCCAAAAAGGAGTTAGGCAAACCTCAGAACTTACCAGAGAGCAATTTTATTGCCCTCAACGTTCTTTACTCATTTCTCATTTTAAAAAACTCTCAATTTTCCTTGAGGTTTACTTTTCCATATACCATATTTTTCAGTATATAAGATGCACTTTCCCCCCCCCCCCCCAAAAAGTGGGTGGAAATGTCTGTGCATCTTATAGAGTGAATGTTACCAAAGCCCCGCCCACCCCCATCCTTCGGCCTCTGCCTCCCAGCAATTCTTGCAGCAAACAGCAAACAGCCTGGTCAGCTTCAGCACAGCCTGATTTAGCACGAGCAGCTGATTGGCAGTTGGATTGGCCTCCCGGAATACTGCCTATCAGCTGTTCTAGGCTGTGGGAATCACCACCGCCCATTGCCACCACCTATTGCCGCCTCATTTTCGACCTCCGCGCATCCCATTTTCTGCCTCCTTGCGTCCAGTTTTCACCCTCTGCATGTCCCATTTTCAGCCTCTACACACTCGAGTTTTGGCCCATTCCAGGTAATGGGGATAGGCAGCGGCAGCAATGGGTGGTGACGGCAATAGGTGATCCCCGCAGTCTAGGAACAGCTGATAGGCTGTATTCTGAGGGGCTGATCTAACTGCTAATCAGCTGCTCATGCTAAATCAGATTGTGCTGAAGCTAACCAGGTTGTTTGCTGCAAGGAGGCAAATTGCTGGGAGGCAGAGGAAGATTTTTTTTTCTTGTTTTCCTCCCCAAAAGCTAGGTGCATCTTATAGTCCGAAAAATGTGGTAATTCTTTCCACTAAGGAAACGTGATTCCATTTTCTAGTTTTGGAAGCAGATTCCATCCAAGATGAACTATCCAGCATAACAGCAATGCCACAGTAATATCTACGTTCAGTTTCTATAACCCAAAAAATGACTTTGTAAAGTGCCACATAGTTTGAAATCTTAAAATTGGAAGCAGCCATTTAGGCCATCAAATATAACCCTCCCCAGTGCAGTAATCCAAAACAGAGCATCCCAGAAAGATGGATATATAGCTTCTATTCGAACATATTAAGTAAAAAGTAGCCTATTAGTAGTGGTCAAGGTAATTGGTAAACTGCACTTACGATAAGGCGTCTATTTTTAACATTCAATTGGAATCTGCCTTCCTGTAATTTAGATCTGCTATTTCATGGCCTACATTCTGGAATAAGAGAGAACATCTTCTGATGTTCCCATCATTCAGGTATTTGATGTTTTCTCAGGTCTAAGCATACCCAGTACATTTAATTTATTTTCATAGGTCTTAATTTCCAGTCCCCTGATCATTTCTATCTCTTTGCCTGATTCCTTTTTTAAAGCACATAGCATAGAACTAATCACAGTGTTCAAGACAGGTCTAACTAATGCAGAACAGAGTGGCACAATTATGTCTGCTAACTTGAAAATTAGATCTCTCTTGGTTCTGGGTTATGTCCATTGTATACCCACATTCAGTTAAGAAAGTTACCAATCAAAAATGAGATTGAATGTCAAAAATGAGATTAAATTTGTTCTTGGTCAATCCATGCTGATGTCTGATAATAATACAGAAATGTTATAATAATAAATAATAAGATCTTTACAGGTCAATTTCTTTATAATCTGCTCTAGAACCTTTCCAGTTATCAATGTCAGATCAACTATCTGTAGTTTTCTGGATCTTTCTTTTCTCCTTTCTGAAGTTAGGGTCCATATTTCTAGGCATCAGACATTTCATCAAATCTCAAGTTTTTCTCAGGGACGTTATAAAAGGGTTTGGTCATCCCTCCTTTCGTACCTTTGGAAGTGGCTTACCAGGTCCTTGAAGATTTAAAGTCATTCAAAATCAAGCAGTATTGCCTCAATTTTCTATCAATGTGAAGCTTTGTCCTGCCTCTTCACCCTGCTTTTTAGATTTTCAAAATGGAACACGTTGTTTCTGTTGAAGATTTTATTAAAATAGGAGAAAATATTTCTACTATTTCTTGAGTATCTGTACCATTTTGCCTACTTCACGCAGTCTTTATTTTTGTTTTGAATGTATCTATCTATGCATCTTTTTTGTTGTTGTTATTCTTACCATTTTCTACTCTGGGTGTTCATTTTCTAACAAAATTCAACTTCATCCCTCTGTGAATTGGTTTTCATTCTATTTCCTCTATGTCCTCCTTTTCATTTTCAGATTTTCAGTAAGCTTTTTGTACAGCCCCACTGGTTTTTTTTTATGCCCTCCATTTTTATCTTAATTGGAATAGTTTTCAATCTTCATATTTTCTTGAAAAAGTAAAGGACAAACCTGAAAAGGGAGCAAATCTGAAAGAAGCTCATGTTTATAACTTCGCTTTACAAAGGGAAATTCAAGAACAAATTAAGAAAATAAAATTGAAGAAATCTAACGGATTAGTTTCTGAAATAAAGGACAGTCCGTTATAATAAAGGACATATGGTTAGTTGCATTCTGATGTTATATCCTTAGGAATTCCCATCCTTCTTAAGGTCTTTTTCCTATTAGCTTCTCCTCCCAAAGAATCCTATTGATATTTAAGTTTATTAAAATCTAAGTTTATTAAAATCTACCTCTGAAGATATGTGTTTGACTAATCTCAGTTTTCTATTTCTCTTAAAATCAGAAACTCCAACCTTACACTGTCACTGCCCTCCAGTGTACCTGTTACTTCCATTTCCTCAGCTAAGTCATCTCTGTTGATTAATATCAAGTAGGAACAGCTGATCATCTTGTCTTCCTTCACTCTCTGAAGGAGATTATTGTTGCCAAGACAAGTCAAGGATTTCCTCAAAGGACAATGTTTGGCAGAAGTTGTCTCCTGT